TTTTGGGCAAATACTATCTTTTTGCTCTTGTATGGTTTTACTGAGGAGTATGTTCCTTTATTATTCACTTTATAGGCCTGTTTGTTGTTTGCTGAAAGTTGATCCCCAGTTGTGAGTTCACTTCCAGGCTTGACGGATGTTTTGATTATCCAGTGCCACTGTTACAGACATATGTCACATGTATGGCTTTAACAACAGGGATTTATTCTCTTACAGTTTAAGAGGCTAGATGTTCAAGTTCACGGTGCCAGCTTTGGGGGCTGGGTGAAAGCCTCTCGACCTTGGGCTTCAGCTCTGCCTCTTACTTCTGGCCCACTAACCTGGAGGTTTCTCTTAACTCAGACAGACAGCTGCTGGTTGCTGAGGCTGACAGACGCAATGCCAGCAAGTACAATGGCACAGTCTCCAAATTATCAAGCAACACAGCAGGCTACTAGTTCAAGCCCAGAAACAGTCATGAGATTGGCAGGGCCAGCATGCCAGGCTACTGAATGAAGACTTGGCTACATGCAGGGTCCATGTGTTCCAAAAAGCTCCTACACCTTTCTCAGAGCTTCTCCTTACGTGGAAGCTGACCACATGCCTAATTCAGCTACTCAGCTGCTCCAGTAGATTCCACCATGGAGTTGATTACCAGTTTCATCCTGGGGAATAATGACACCCCACTGCCCAGTCACTCAAATCCAGACCCAGCCAAGTTGATGTACAAATTAAATACCACTAAGGGCCACCATCTTAGGGGTTCCACTAGTCTGTGTCAGACCAATACATCTGGTCTTTTTTGTGATTTTGAATTTTGCTGTACATTATTTTTCTCCCTCTCTGTCCAGGACGGATCCCATTCAGAATGGATGGTACTGATAGGCACTCTCTAGTTCTTCTGGTCTCAGGCTAGTGGAGGCTGTGATTCATGTGGTCTCTTTGGACTGATTGTTTTCCTGAGTCTTTGGTTTTCTTCACTCTTCTGTTCTGGATAGGGAGAGACCATAGTTGCCTCTGAGAGCTTCTTTTAACTGTCTTAAACTCTAATTCAGAAGCTCTGGTAGCGTAGTACCTAAGGCACTTGACTGCTAACCAGAAGGCTGGCAGTTCAAACCC